CAGCAAAATATCTGATGTAACACAGGACAGATTGAAATGAAAATAGAGAATATTTATTCATGTATAATACGATCATCCTTTTTTAGATTAAGAAACATGAAAAATCTTATCATCAATAACTATATGAAATTGAGAATAAAGCTATAATAGCTCGAACAATGTTTCTTCTTATTATAAGAGGATCTTAGTTTAAAACTCTGAAGTAAAAGACTGATATGTTTTCCTTTAAGGAATGTTTTGCCTTCATTTTTATGTCGAATGGACTGAAATTAAGTTTATTTTTAAAACAGCTAAATCTTGACAAATACTTTGAAAGACCTTCAAAAATCCCAAAGATGTACTGATCAAGACCATCTTCAAAGGTCACAAGATAATCTAACTGGAGACGTGTAAAGAAATGAGATGCCACGTGACTTTTTTAAACAGCTGAAAACAAAGCAAGCAAGATGATTTCRAAGCAGTGACATTACATGGAGGACAAAGAATCTGATGCCAAGTTTAACATGCAATAGTTAAAATAAGATTACTAAAATATATATTATTTATATTATAATATAAACTATAATATAGACTAATTCTCAGAGCAGAAATGATGCTAATATGTCCACATGCAGCTCTGCTGGAAGGACATAATGAGGCTAGACAGCATAATGGCAAAACAGGAATGAGAGATAAAATCAAGTAGAATTAAAAGTAAAAGTGCTTTTGTACCTGTTGACTCACCTTAGTCCAGGGATGTGCCTTAATCTGGGGGAATTTGAACTCAGTATAGTTGGGGTTCATCTCACGGATTTGCTCTCGGGTCGGGGTACCGAGAACCTAAGACAAGCAGAAACGTTACTTTTCTTCTTGAACCTTTAACTAAAACTGGCAAACATTTAGGGAATAAGCAGGCCGAGTAAGTCAGGCCTGGTAATTACCTTAATAATTTCAACCAACTGATCCACGCCACTGTCGCCAGGGAAGATTGGTTGTCCCAGCAACAGCTCTGCAAGTACACAGCCAGCTGACCACACATCTACAGGAGGAAGCAGGTCACCGAGAGRAAAAACAAGTTAGACACCAGAAACAGAGCGCACACACAGTCGTGTCACCCTGCAACAGTGACACAAAGCATATGACATTCTGTTTGTCTCGTATTCACACACAGAGGAGTCTGTGACACCTGCGGGTGGCTTACCTATGCTGGAGGTGTAGTCAGTGGCCCCGAAGATCAGCTCAGGAGCCCGATAGTAGCGAGAGCAGATGTAGGACACGTTGGGCTCTCCACGGACCAGCTGCTTCGCACTGCACACAGATGTACATCATCATTAATTTCTTTTTACTTCCAATAGGTAGGTTCGTCACAATACGTTCTGCTGGACAATGAATCGTCTCAGAAATTATTGCGATAAACCATAATATTATTTAGAGACCATTTTAAACTAATATAATGACCCCTCACCCCCACGCACACACAAATAATAGGGTTCCTGCAGTTTAAGCCAAGTTAAATTTAAGACTTTTTAATGCCAAGTGAAATTAAATTTAAGACCAATTTTATAATAAACACAAATGATAAAAATAAAAACTGGCAGAAACTCATGAATCAAAGTAATTTTGGTTGACATATTCAAATATTCCTAATAAACCAATTGTTTTTATCCATATCTAACTATAGCATGAAACCTTCTTAGC